TAAAATGGTGAAGGATCTGGAAACCATGCCCTATGAGGAATAACTTAGTGAACTGGGTATGTTTTGTCTGGAGAAGAGATGGTTAAGAGGGGATATGATAGCCCTCTTTAAATATTTGTAAGGATTTCATATTGAGGAGGGCACTAGCTCGTGTTTTTACTGCTCCAGAGAACAGGACCCAGAACAATGGATGTAGGCTACAGGAAAAGAGATTCCACCTCAACATTAGGAGGAACTTCCTGAAAGTAAGATCTGTTTGACAGTGGAACAAACTCCCTTGGAGTGTAATGGTGTCTCTTTCTTTAGAGGTCTTTAAACAGAGGTTGATTGGCCATCTGTTGGGGATGCTTTGATTTTGAGTTCCCTAGGTCTTTTAGGACAAATTTCCTTGCCAGCTCATCCTGCATGGCCTTCACCTCCTGCTCCATCTGAGCAGCCACACAGAGGTCTCTACATAGATGACTAAAGTGACCCCTCCTCTCCTATACACACATGCACCTGCCACACTCCATGTGTATCCAAGCCTTACCAGTTCCTCATGGATGCACCTATTCCAGCAGCGCACACTGTTGGAATAATGTTCCAGTGAAAATGCACAATGTGGTGAATGGCAGCAGCCATGATGACTAAGCTTTTGGCCACTGCTGAGTCATGCAGCATCAAGGCTGATGAAACAGGCTGATGAAACAGGAGGTGACATAATGACAGGGAGTCATCTGGTGCTGTAAAGCACAGTAAATGCTCCAAAAGGGCTGCAAACATGATGTGTTATACTGATGATTGCCAGGTGTCCAAAAGGAAAAGGCAGGGTCAGAAAGCCATGTGGAGCACTGGCTATATAAGGGACAAGCCTCTGGATACATGTGTGGGTTGATTGTGGAAGGTGGAGATTATTTGAGAGTTCGTTGGTGTATCGTTGTACATAGCCTTTGTACATAGAATGTCTGAAGATTAAAAGCCTCTTAGTGAGACATCTGCTCTCTCTGCTCTGTCTGGAGGGGAAAGGAGTTTTCCTGTAGCTGACAATGTTCCCTGCTTCATCGAAGACAGTCTGGATCCTGGTGCTTCACGTTACGTGGTTCCCACCCGCTGCATTACCACGCTAACACAGTGTCACCACGCTAACACTGTGTCACCATGCTAACACTGCGCCAGAGGTTCTGACTAGATGAAAGTAAGTGACTGTTTTTGTCTGCATCCAGAAGAGCTGCTTTCAACTATCTAAAGTGCCGGTCGGCAAAGAGTTAAGAGCCTAGCTGTTTAGCTGACCTTATCTGTTACTGATAGTGAAAACTGGGAAGGCTGCCAATGCTGTGCTGTTGTTTTGCCTAATTGCAAGAATGTAAGGCATAAAGTTTCCTAAAGTGACTGATCAGAATTACTCGCAATGGGCAGTTTACATGGAAGCTACCCTGGTCCATGAGGGGCTGTGGGAACCTGTGGAAGAGGGTCTAAATTCAAAGAATGCACAAACAGACAGGAGAGCCTGTGCGACTATCTGTCTTTGTTTGGACCCCAGCCAGTTGGACCATGTGCGAGATAAAGGGTCTGCCCAGGAGGTCTGGCTTGCTTTGAAGAGTGTGCATCAGTCTGATTCCTTGTTGTCAAAGATGCTTTGGACACAGAGACTATATGCTTGTAAAATGGTCAAAGGCCAGTCTGCAGAGCAGCATCTGGCTAAAATGAAACATCTATTCTTGGAAGCACACGCTAGAGGAATAGAGTTGTCAAGGCTGCAGAAGGCACACATTTTGTTGAGCAGTTTGTCGTCAGAATTTGACCATATCCTGTACAGCCTCTAGGGAGTGCCAGAGACCCAACTTTTTGAGGACCTAGTGACCACACGTTTTTTGGAGGAATGCCAGAGACGGCGTTTTGAAGCTGGCATTCAGAGACAGGTCCAGCCAACAACAACAACAACCACCACCACACCACCAGAAGCAGTTCAAGAGACTGAGAATGCAGCTGTTTGCAGAGCAAAATGATGTTTCTCTTGCGGACAGCCAGGACATTTTCAAAGGAATTGCAGGAGGTCACCACTGCCAGAGGGAAACAGCTACCATGCCAGTCTCCTGGGAACAGGAAAGGGGCTGTTTTGGCAGTCAAGGAAAGTGACTCTAAGGCCCATCATGCAGATGCTGACACACATCTCTGGATGATTGACAGTGGAGCCACACATCACATCGTCAACAAGAGGTCCTTGCTGAAGGACAGGAAGCCCTCCAGTGTCAGCAGAGTTGGTTTGGCTGATGGAGGTTCCCGCCAAATCAGAGACATGGGGACTATGCATTTCCCTGGGTTTGACAGGGATTTTGAGAATGTCAAAACTTCCTGATCAGTGTCTCAGCCTTAGTTTCAGAGGGCTATGCAGTGCAATTTGAGGGGGATGAGTGCCTCATCACTAGAGGGGAGCAGGTTTGTGCCAAAGCACACAGGCACAACAAGTTGTATTTTCTGGATTCCCAGGCAGGGTGTGCTACAGTTGGGAATGTGCCACTGCACTCCAGCTGTGTGTACTACCTACACAGGGTCCTAGGGCATGCCAGGTTCAACAGTTTGGACAAGCTGAAGGGGGTATGTCCTGGGCTTAAGTGGGAGAACTGCAGTAATCACCTGGAATGCTCTGTATGCAGCAGAATTAAGATGAAAGCCTTCCCTGTTGCAAAAAGGAGCAAGTGTG